CCCCCCCCCCCCCCCCAACGCACAAATGCGGATGCCCGTGGTTGCTACCTGCCAACTTCTGTCCGTTGTACAGGCCACGGAGCCAAGCACACTGATACCCCTGTCTTTAGGTTGTAAACGCCTCATCCTAGTAGGAGACCCTCGACAGCTTCCGGCGACGGTTATCAGCCAACGGGCGGCCCGGTGAGAGTTTTTATTTCTCCAACGGAATATAAATGATTCAAAGCGGTGAAGAAACTAGAACGAAGGGAATACAGATGTACATGGTTTCATGCAAGTGGTAAATCTTTTAGGACGCGCTTCGATGCGACGTGTGTCAATTCGACGTTGACGAGGTTTTTGGCTGAACCGCGCTCGCGATGAACGTTGAGGACAAGAAGGGGAATCCTGCCTGCAGCCCCCGGCTGGTATGCCCAAAACATGTGCCGGAAGGTGAATTCGCACGTGTCCAGGATGATGGGGATAGAAAACAGGAAAACAAAAGAAAACAAGGTAGTTCCGCAAGCTTTTGTTTTCGTAAACTCTGTGTTGTCTTGTGGCAGTCAAGGGTGTGTGTTGGACAGCTTCCGACTGTTTTCGTGATTCGTCGGCGTGCTTGGTCTTGGGGGCACGTTTGTGCATGTGCGAGTGCCCGCTTTCTGCGGATGCAGGTTCCTGCTCGTCGCTCGACGTTGTGTTGTCGTTCTTGTTGGTTGTGGTGGCAGTAGCGGCGGTGCTGGTGCCGTCGTTGTGCAGTATAGTTGCTGTTGGTGATGTTGCTGTTGCTGTCGCAATAACGTACGGTATTGTCTCAGTATCTTCGAGCTGCTGCTATTTTTTGGGACGGTTTTTCTGGTGCAGTCCATCACACGGTGCTCCTCTACCTGCCCCCCCCAATGGTTTGCGCTCGATCTTGGCGCCCCATTTGCAGCTTGAACCTAGAGGTCAGCCTCTTCGAAAGATTGGAGCGTGCGGGCTACCCCGTCCACATGCTCACGGTGCAGTACCGGATGCATCCCGAGATTCGAGCGTTTCCGTCAGGTGGGTTGGCCGTCAAATATTTCGGCAGACGTGAATCCGCAGCCTTATAATCCCCATCATTCTAAGATGTGTTGAGCGCCCGAAGTGTTGGAGGCGTCTCTACAATACCAGGAAAAGGCACCGTGCTTGGTATTGAAGAGGATGCATGCTACACCATGGCGTTGCTCAAATGCGAGAACGCCCCTCTGCCCCCCCCTTCTATCCGTCTTTGGGCAACGTCCCCCTCCCACACACACACACACCGGTGTTTGCCATCGGGGTTGGGTTTTCGTCGCTTGGCAACGACGTTGTATAACAAGCCGCCCCCCCCGGTGTTTGCCATCGGGATTGGGTCTTCGTTGCTTGGCAACAACGTGGTAAAACAAGCCCCCCCCTCGGTGTTTGCCATCGGGATTGGGTCTTCGTTGCTTGGCAACGACGTGGTAAAACAAGCCCCCCCCCTCGTTGTTTGCCATCGGGATTGGGTTTTCGTCGCTTGGCAA